GTGATGGTCTTCATCATGTTGGTCCATGTCGACATTGGTAGCATGGCACTTTTCTAATTCCTCACAACCTGAACTCTTTAAGATCATGCTCATGGAGCTGTGATGACTGCTCCCTCCTCCCAGCAGGTAAATCTACAGACTTTAACGCTGTCATCTGAGTATATGAAAGTTAAAATAAGCCGAACCAAGTCTGCGCCTGGAGGAAAACACCCGAACCCCACCCCCACCCCACCCCAATGCCCCCCATGCATGCTGTTGTAACGGTACACCGAGGAAAACCTTTAGCTGTCCCTCCAGACTGAAAGGACCAGACTGGTCAGAAACCGGATGGTTCTGGTTTTTAATCCCTTCCCAGTGTGGTGCAGGGCGAATAGTGAAGCTGATATTCTGCCCATTCACCCTGTTCTACATTTAGCCTTCAATTTAGAACATCACTGAGAAGTCAGATCAACAACAGACCAGAAATAACAGCTGACCTTTCACCCACTTTCACCCTCAACAACAACTTCAGGAAAAAAATGTTACCACATTCAAGACGGAGGTGTCAGTCCGAACTACAGTTAGTCAGCAAAAAACAAACTGGTCACGTCCTGCTTTCAGGCACTGATGCCTGGAAGTTTCACAAAGAAAGACAGGTGATAGAAGGTCAGAGTGGAACCCAGTGTGTAGAGCCAGTGCTCCGCCGATGTTTGCTATCCTCAGGACGTGGAGATGAGATGCTGTGTGTGTTTATGTTTTCTACAGTAGATAGAACAGAGTGAGTGAAAACTGAGTGTAGAGCAGTCAGAAACGTCTGAACTGAACCTTTAAATGATCAGGATGGTTCTTTTTTTTCTAACTAAGTAGCCAATAGCTGAACTTTTAGCTTCTAGTTGTCTGGACCAAATTCGGCCCAGATCACGTTTTATATGGAATCGAGACTGTTTGTTGATTGTAGATACCAAACATGGAATCGAAAGGAAAATATTGCAGCAGTTCTACACTGTTGAGAGCTGAGAGAAATAGATCTGGATATCAAATGTGGGCCACATCCAAGTCAAACTACAAGCAAGTTCTTTTGAGTGCCATGATGTGTCTAACTGGCTAATATCATGAGTCCAGTGTGTGAGCCACATGCTAACCACACGTAAACCCAAACTGCCCTCTGTGTGATTGGTCTAGAAGCTTATGTGGTCCATAACTGGGCCAGACCCAAAAGTAAACGGAAAAGAACACACACACTTGTGTTTCTGATCACTGCCTGCAGTATTTGACCACTCAGTGTTAACTTTCTTGAATGGACCACTGTCTCGTCCATGTGGACACATCCTTCCATCTGCTGCGACAGACTCCTTTCCTCTCCTCTTCCATCTCCAGACTCCTTCTGCAGCTTTTGATTCACTCCTTCATTTTATAAATGTAGCTCAGTCTCATATTAACAGCCTGTGTTATCAGGACGTCAGCTTGTCTCAACAAGATCAGCCCCTCAGGCTGTTCTCAGCATAGTTATAGGAGGATCAATGAGAACACACACAAACACACACACACAAACACACACACAAACACACACAACATGGCAACTATGGAATTATTGAATTTTTTGGCAGTTGTCTTGGACCAGTCAAATCGACCGGATGGCCCAGATTTACTATCTAGAGAATGTCCCCTCAGAATGTCCTCTTGTGGACGTCCTTGATGATCTTTAGTGGCCCACACCACATATCCAGAATCTGGGTCACAGACCTCCAGGCAAGATCGTCTTCTTCTAGCCCTACCCTGCGTGGCCTTTAGTGGCCCACATCTGCCAGTCAGGGCACTACGATGGCCACCTTTCTCTAGACCGAAAGTAGCCTAGAAAATCGGAGAAAAAAAAGCCAGAAAGCATGTGTGTGTCACTCACGCAGACAGACGGCTGCCAGCAGACGCAGGCCGTTCTCGGGGGGGAAGCAGGTGGGAAACAGAGGCTGCAGGACGTAGTTGGAGAAGGTCAGTGCAATCACTGCCTGGTTGGTGGGATAGATGACCAGCACGGCGATCCACAGACGCAGGAACCTGAGGAATAAGAGAGCAGGGGCAGACGTTGGACACTACCGTTGAATGTAGCAGAGACTCCTTTGTTCACATCTGTTTCTTATTCATTTGAACTTTTTCATTGTTTTTGAACTAAAGTTTTTCTTGTGAATAAGTAACACTGTGCACTTCAGTCGGGCCACACACCTCATCTTTATGTGTAATGTGATAATAAGAGTCTGTGTACTGTGTATTTAACGTTCCACAAATGTGTACAGCCCTGTGGAACTTCCATATTTATGTACTTATGACTAAAACCAGGACACAGAGGCAGCCGGACAAACCAAACCAAACAATCAGTCTCTGTGAACCTGCTGTGTGTTCATCCAGGCCGGAGCTTCACACTGAGCATCTGAACTACAAAGTGTGTGTAGGTGCAGGTTCACTGATGTGTGTTCATTGATGGCTGCTGCACAAAAGGACAAAAACAAGCAGTTTGGCCTGTTTTGTCTGCTGGAATTCCTCTCCGAGAAGAACTGTGATAATAAACCTGTGACACTATAAAAACAACAGGACCAGGCTAATCTGGTCTGTGAGAAGACACACTGTGTGTGTGTGTGTGTGTGTGTGTGTGTTTCCGGAAGTTCACTATCAGCAGCTTTTCCCACACCTTAACACTTTTAACACAGTATTTCAGAAACAGCCAACCATAAAGACTACGTACATTTAGGAGAGAATGAATCAAAGTGAAGGAGTGATAAATATATATCACCATGTTACCAACTAAACTGACTGTCATTTGTCATGTAATCAAACGTGATATGTAGTCGCACGAAAAGGGCTCAAAGTCGAATGGTCACTGACGATAAATGACCAATGAACAGCAGCATATCCCTGAACCTGGTTCTTATTGGTCAGTCTTTTTCTGTTCTTCATTCACCATCATGTTCTAGTGGAGAACTATCAAGTGTTCCAGCTCACCCTGCCAGGCCTCCAAAGATGTCCTTCACGTAGGAGTAGTCTCCTCCAGACTTTGGAATGGTGACTCCCAGCTCGGCGTAGCACAATGCCCCGATGGCAGTGATGACGCCAGTGATGATCCAGACAATAAGAGCCACGCCCACAGAGCTGGCGTTCTCCATCACACCCTTAGGACTGACGAAGATACCAGAGCCGATGATGTTACCTGGAGAAAGAAGGGAAGAAATAAAATAAGAAGAATTACTCTCCAAGATCCAGTTGCATTGTGGGAAGCCAGGTGTCTCGGATTAATATTACTGAAGTTTTACTCAGTTCTGGAATCAGGCTGGTCGTTCTCCACAATCTGCTGACTCAAGGCATTTGAATTCTATCCTTTAATTCCTAAGGACATGTCACTGGACATTCATTCAAACATCAAAACGTCTGTTTTTTTCTGTTGGTTTTAACATGATCTTTGCACAAAGATGGAGGTTCGGACAATTGGGTAATATTCTGGTTGGATAAAAAGACAGTTCTCTGAGGTCAGAGCCGGGGGCTGCCCCTCAGACTCAGCTGCCTCTGCTCTGACCGCCATGAAACGTATCCAACAATAAAACAACAAGGGTCAACGGTTGAAGGTTACTGAATCATAAACTGCTGATTTGAAAAAAGCAGAGTGGAGTTTTACAGTACAAAAGTCAAAGATATATAAAGGAGTGTGTGTGTCGGGGTGTGTGGGTGTGTGTACATGCAACATGTCTTCAATTGTCCCTCCTGTATTACTGTCAGGTGACATATTAACACTAGGATAATTGAAAGCACACAGCAGGACATTGGACGACACTTGAAGTTACCGGTTGATCTAACAATAAAACTTTAGGAAAGATATATCCTAAATAAAAGTGGAAAAAATAGGTCAAAATCATTTATGAGTACACCAGAAGTTAATCATTTAATGTTAGCACAGGTATAGACAAACCTTTTAATGTCATAAAATAACCTAAAAAAGCTCAACGTTGTCTGATGACTCCCCAGAGTTAAGGCTGATGACGAATTACCAAAGAGCTAAATTGATTATTAAGGCAAACAACTCATATCACTTTTAGCCAACATTAGAAGCAACAACAGCAGAACTACAGCCAGCTTTGTTAAAAGACAAAACGCTAACTAAGCATAAATAAGCCACACTTTTCTAAAAATATAGGGGAAAAAAGCCAAGTTAGATTTGACAAATTTGCTAACTAGTGCTAGAAAGCAGTAAAAAGACAACGTTTGCTAATCTAGTAGCAAAGTGGCAAGAGAGTTCATAAATACAGCCAGTTAACAACAAGACAGTTAAAACTTAAAACCCTCTTAGAGCTCAGGCCAAACTCAATAAACGCATTCAAGTCAAACTGATTGAAATTAACAAAATGATAACTGGGAAATAAAATGTAAAATACCCCAAAAACAGATGTCTGTGTACGCGTATGAAGTGAACATTGAAAAACTTGAAAAAGTGTTCTAGGGTTAATACACAGTATGGAAGTGTGTGGTCTGAAGTGCAGTTACAGGTAAAAGGCAAAAAGAAAACAGAAGCTGCATGTGAATTGACTCAGGACTTTTCTGTTGCTGGACTAAGCGACTCCTCCGATCAATACTAAGATAAAAGTGGCGTGCAGACAGATGTGTCCACACACACTGTCACACACTAACATGCCAGCCTGGTGCTGACCAAGTGGAATCCTTACGTTTCCTTCCTTCTTGTGTTGCTTGTGTCCATGAGGTCTGTTCTCTGACAACCTCGCTGTTCCTCTCCTCTGATTTTCTTTTTTTTTACATCAACGTAATTAGACTTAACACAATTCAAGACACATGTGTGGGGGTGTTTTTGTTTTGTTTGTTTGTTTTTTTCAGTGTTTTTCTTGTAGGTTAAACTAGAAATATTTTCTGTCTATTTAATTAAATATTAATCAAATATTTATTTATACTATTTGTATTTAAACTAGTGTTCTTTCAAAAAAGTGCAACAAAAATACCTCCAGTTAAAAGTTGGCAGAGATGTGGATACGCAACAAAAATACCTCCAGTTAAAAGTTAGCAGAGATGTGGATACGATTAATACAATATTAGCTTAGAGTAGGTAATATGTAGACAAGAAAAGATTATGTTCAGAACTCAAACTCAAATAGAACAGAATAGAAGTTAGTGAACATAAAAGAAAGAAAGAAAAAAGAAAGAAAGAAAGAAAGAAAGAAAGAAAGAAAGAAAGAAAGAAAGAAAGAAAGAAAGAAAGAAAGAAAGAAAGAAAGAAAGAAAAAAGAAAGAAGAAAGAAAGAAAGAAAAAAGAAAGAAAAAAGAGAAAAAAGAAAAAAGAAAGAAAAGAAAGAAAGAAAAAAAGAAAAAAGAAAGAAAGAAGATAGCTTAGTTAGCCAAGATTAGTAACAGACAATTTGACTTCATTTCAATATTATTAATATTGATGGTTTAGACAAGAATGTAGTCAAACTTAATCAGGGAACACATAGATATTGAATGTAAATGAAAGTTGGTTTACTCTTCACCTCCCTGTGGCTGTTTGACACATTTGACACATTGAAAGTGAAGTACTCTCTTGTGCTACTCTGTCAGACCTGAAAACTGTTTAAACAGTGACATTAACAAAGTTTACTCAACCTTCAGCTCCAACTGTAGCAGTACGAGGGCTTCCAAATGGGAACACGAGGGATGCTACAGCAATATGCTAAATCACCTCTGTGGGTTAGGGTTTAACGCTTTCACTTTTTGCCATGTGGATATAAGTTGGAGTCATAAACATTTACACTTCACAATAGGCCATAAAAGACTTTGATGTCTTTCAGATTCCGCCTGCTCACTCATAATTCCATTGAACCCAGCGACAGGTGAGTTCAGAACTGGAAGAGTCAGACAGGTCACCTGAGCCCACGGCCTGCTCGAATATGAAATCATGAGTTCATTAAGGCAAGGACAAATGAATGAGTGAATACATGAGTGAGTGAATGGCCTGATCAAAGAGAAGACCGGTGGTCAGGCAAATAAAAAGTCAGTCATGTGACTGTGTCATGTGACTCTGCATGGACTCTGGATGGCCATTAAAGTCCTGCACGTGTCAACTCTTATTGTCCCAACACTGCTAACAATCTGAATGAATGGACTGAATTCTGTAGAAATGTATAAAAATAAAACACATTTATATCCAGCGACACAATTCTCAAAATCATTTTGTTTTCCTTTGCATCTCACCTCAGAAAATATACCGAACAGTAAGAGAGTAACACTGAACCAAAGACTAGTTTATGGCACGACAAAAATTAAGTGATTGATACCAAAAAAAAAAAAAGAAGAAGAAAAGCCGCCAGAAAGAAAATGGTAGGAGAATAAAATGATTACATTTTTAGTCAATAAATAGCAGTTTTGGCTAGCTGGAATGGAAACTAAAATTGAGAATCGACCAGTAATTCACCAAAAAGTATTACATGTCAATTAAAATTAGAGGCCTTGATGATAATGCTAAAGATTTGTGGTTAAAATATAGGCCACACTCCAGCTATAGTTAGACCAGGAAAAAAGCAGACGTCAGACAAACAACTTGTTCAATTAGCAGGTTAGCTAGCAACAAGTCTAAAGCGTGGCTCTGAGAGGAGCACCAACCAAAGGCTTGGTCGTACGGTCGGTCACGTCACCCTCACAACTGTAACTACAGCCACACGCGCTTCAGGAGATGTCAAGTATGATTCCGATTTAGAGAACTCTTCACAGGAACATTTCTGTGACAATGTTCTTTTTCACTTCCCATCAAGGCCCCCACCAGACTACAGACTGGCGCACACACACACACACACACACTCTCACTCAATTCCCTCCTGTTACCGTGGAAACAAACGGACGTGTGAGTCATCCCGTCCTTTGCTCCACCTGTCAAGGTCAGCGGGACGACCACACACTCAGGCTGTGTTAGGGATTTGTGTGTTCTCTGAATCTGTGTTCGTTTGGTTGGACTGTGCACATCTGCTCATCCCGTTTTTCTGGATATTTAACCCAATTACAAAATAATGACTAATTATACATAATATATATAATTATAAGACAGATTTGATCAAAGTGTTCTCTAAGTCTCTTCAATTTCTCTAATGGTCGTGACATGGCCCCTTCAGGTCATTTGGTCACATTTTGTTATCATATTTAGGCTAACTTGTAGCTGTTTCTGGGCTAACTTTCTGCAGCGGAGTGACTTCTTTGCGTACTTAATTAGTTACGTTAAGCTAATTTTATCATTTTATAATTCGTGCTACTTATGAGTTAAATTTTAAGCATGTACACACACTTTTTATATATATATATATATATATATATATTTATTTGGGTTATTTAGCTACATTAAATCTAAAAGTTAGCTTTGGAGTTTTAATCTGTATCTTTAACTCAGCTATTCATGGCCATATATTTTAGCTGACTCAGTTTCTTCTTACAGCAATTATTTTAATAAAAATACAGTACGTTATAGTTGATATACCGTGTTGTACTCACCGACTATAATACCACAGGCGCTCACCAGTCCGATCTCCTTCTTCAGGGCGACTCCTCCTCCTCCGGACTCCTTCTCTCCCTGAGCATCCTTGGAGGATCCAGTGCTGCTGCGCTGCCTCGGACCGTCCGTCATGTTGGTGATGAAATTGGTGTTTTTTAAGTGTCTTTTTTTAATTTAAAATTCGAAAATGCTCTCGTCGTCCTCACAGAGGCTCTTCTGTGCGTGCGCTCGCCGCGCACCGGTGTCACCTTTGTGCGTAAAACCACGGTTCAGTTCAACGTGGTTTTCTTATCTGATAAGAAATAATAAAAGCCTTGTGCACCGTCAGCACTTCGCCAAAGCCTTCGATGAACAATAAAAAAAAGAAACACTCTCAGCTGATGAACCGACAGCGCCACATTAACTAGTCACCGCGGCAGCAGTGAGCTTTCACCTGTCGGAGGCCCAGGTCACAGGTGGGTCCACCAGGGGTCAGAGGTGAGGACAGAAGGCACAATCAAGTCCGGCCACTGCGCAAAAAGCGCATAATCCAATGAGAGTCGTCAGAACTAAGAGGAAACGGCTCAGGTGTTGGCTGTAGCTGAGAGCGGCAGAAACTAAGACGGATATGAGGGGAAAACAATGAAAAAGAAATTAATGCAAAATTTAAAAAAAGGTCAGAGTTTCTTTGTTCCAGGTGTGTGCTGAATACACACAAACATCCTCCCTTTGCCAAAGACCTGCTCCAAATGCAGACGCAAAGTGGAATAAAAGTGGAGGAGAACAAAGTGAGTGAAGTCGTTCAGGTTCTCCTCACGGACATCACAGCTGAGCCCCTGAGCTTGGACAACAGCAGGTTGGAGTAAACGTCAACACGTTCTGCTTAATAAACGCACAGCAGCGACGCCCTCTTTTCTCTCCCTCATCGCCCCGCCCCGCTCTATGACGTCAAGGTTTGTTTTTCCTCCATCAGCCTCTGAGACCCTCCCTGTTTTCTCCCCTTACCCACACTACAGTGTTGTCCCTGAAACTTCAGGTTCTGAAGAAGAACCAGAACCTGAGGTGTCAGTATGAAGAGAATAAAAAATAAATAAAACCAGTTCCTGTCCTTCACTACTTCCTTTTCCCTTCCCTGTCTGAACACACACACAAACACAAAGTCTCACTAATAGATTATTCAGAATGCAGCAGAGCATGGCTCTAAATTTAGACCCAACTCTCTTAGTGTGATCCACAACTGCTGCTGCTGCTGACGTCAACCTGTCACATCACAACTGGGTCTTATTCATTAGATAGTAGCCATTTTCTGCAATATTTTGTCCCAATTTTTGTTTGTTCTTAAGCTTATATATGTTAGATAATGACTCATCTGTTTTTTCAATATCTTTTTAATAGTTTTTTAGGCTAATGGACTAATAATTAGACACACAATGCCTGACTGTCTAGCTGTAATGTTTAGTTAGTTAGTTGTTTGGCTAGTTTTTTTATTTTTATTGATCTTGGCTTTGGTGCAGTGTTTGTTTTGTTTTTCATTGCTAACGTCCATGTTTCTGTTTGTGCCCTAGAAATGTTGCCCTCTTCAATTGGTTCCACTTTTGCTATTTTGTGGCTTTAATAATCTGTTTGTTTTCAAACAAAC